CCCCTGCCACGGGTGCACTAGTGGGCTACTACGCTCGGGAGGCTGCTGTGGGTCCCTGGCTGACTTCCCCCAACAGATGGTTCTGGTTTTCTCCTGACCATGGGAGGAGAACAGAGCTGAGAGATGTCTGCCAAAGTAGGCCTGGTGGGAGCAGATGCCGAGGACACAGTCTGCTCTGGGGGCCAAGTCACAGCCTGTGAACAGAGGGAAAATAAATTAATGTTCACGTTTATTTAGTCCCCTTCTTTACCTTTTGTGCTTCATCCTGTTCCTGGACCCTTGCCCCATAGATGGCTTTGGGCTGCTGCAGTTCTGCTGTAGGTGAAAGACTACCTCACTAAAAAGGGATCTTGTTTACTGCAGCATGAATTATGGAGTTGGGGACTTTGATAGTCCACAGCTCCTCCAGGAGTAAATCCCTTGCAGTTTGTGCCCATAAAGAGGAAGCAAAGGAGGATGTCGTCTCCCTGGAAATGGCTGTGTGCACCCTTTCTCTTAACACTGTCATTATGTGCTTATTTGCAGTAGCATTCATGGAAAAACTAAAAGGAAACTGAGTTCCTGTTGTAAGATACCCCATATAAACACTAGCAGGAAGGCTGACTGAGGTAAGCAAACAGCAAACAAGTTTGCTGGTTAACTCACAAGTTAATTTTCACTTAAACAGCATTTCAGGTTTGCAAGTGAAAGAGTTGCTTGAATGGTAAACAATAGGGGTAGGTCAGCTGTCTAGTACTGTATGGGTTTGCTTTCCCCTTTATTCAGCACTGGTGAGGCCACACCTGGAGCGCTGTGTCCAGTTCTGGCTCCCCAGTGCCGCCGCGGGACAGGCGCACCGCACGGGCTGGAGAGAGCCCAACAAAGGGCCTCAAAGATGTTTAAGGGATTGGAGCATCTCTCACATGAGAAAAGGCTGGGAGAGCTGGGACTGTTCAGCCTGGAGAAGAGGCGGCGTGAGTGGGGGAGAGGGGGATCTTATCAATGTGTATAAATACCTGAAGGGAGGGTGCAAAGAAAATGGAGCCAGGCTGTTTTCAGCGGTGCCCAGCGACAGGACAAGAGGCAGTGGGCACAAATGGAAAGGCAGGGGGTTCCCTCTGAACATCAGGAAACACTTTTTTGCCGTGAGGGTGACTGAGCACTGGCAGAGGTTGCCCAGGGAGACTGGGGAGTCTCCCACCTTGGAGATACTCAAAATGCCACCTGGACACGGTCCTGGGCAGCTGGCTGTAGGTGGCCCTGCTTGAGCAGGGGGGGTTGGACCACATGACCTCCAGAGGTCCCTTCCCACCTCAACCGTTCTGTGACTTCATAGTAAGCTGAGCTTGCTCAACCATTTTAATACCACCAAATAAAACACTGCTCATCTGGGACCACAGGTCACACTCAAGTTATCCCTTCTCACAGTAAATTCCTCTGTGACCAACTGACTTCCAGTGGTAACTGCAGGGAACACTGTGGGGTCGGGGGGGACGCCATTAGCAAACAGAACCACACAGGTAGAAAAGAAAGTTGCTTTTACTTCCCCACTCAGCAGCAAAACCAGTGAAAGGAATGTGGAAAAGGCATGAGCTGGGGAGGAGCCATGGACAGCTACAATAACTGAGTCTGGAAAAACCTGCCAACAGGGCTGGGAATTTAAGCCGCCTTTAGTTTATTCAAGAGGTAGCCAAGGCAAAATGTTATCATAGTCTGTACCTATGTGAAAAGGTTCCCACTGCTAACAGAAATCATTGTGAAACTGTGCAACTATGGAAATTAAATCTAGGCATGTTTAAACTTTTTTCCCCTTCCTTGGTTTCTTTAAGAATGAGCATCTAAAAGTGCATGCTGTAGCTGTGTGGTTTCCAACCACCAGCCCACCACATGCTGGCGTGCCACACTTCTGTGTTTCATAGCCTGACAACCCCTTAACTCCAGTTAAGGTCCGCAGTGCAGTTACACAGTGCTCTAAACACACCCGGAGCTGCTGGCTTCTCTCCGATGGCTGCTTCTCTGCATTAAGTCAGAAATGGCGACCACAAGACTCCCACTGAGATCAGAAGAGTAAAGTTAAAACAAGAAGCAAAGCTTTTCGGGCAGACTACTTAGGAACCTGATTTCCCCCTCTGTTTTCAGTTTGAAAAACTCTTGATTGCGGTCCCTTAAAGCCCTAGTTAATGCTTACGAGAGTTGCTTCGAAGTGCCAAACGTCATTTTATTTGTGATGACGAGCTAGCCTTACAGCCTTGTAGACACTTTCTACAGAAGGCATTTAATCTGTTCAAGACTACAATTTCTTCCGCGTGCCACTCCAACATCTTGTTTCCTCACCTCAGAAGCTGTTTTAACCTATTTGTGACATGGAACTGGCATCCAGGCGCCATCCTTGCTTCTCTCGCTTTGGGAAAAGGCACCAGACCTGGGAAGGCTCTGTTCGGTTCCATGCCAGCTTGTTCGTATCCTCCCTTGTTCTCTGAGCTGGTCTCTCACTTTTATCCTTACCTCTGTCCGTTTTCATACTCAAACCGGCAGAGTTTGCTTCACACAGTGTTTGCTACTGCTCCACCTCCTGCGTTTTGCTCAGCCAGCAGAGGTGTAGCTCCACTCTGCAAACTGCAGCTGAAGCTTCCCCTGCAGCGTCACTGCACCCGATGGTTATTCCAAGGGGTTCAGGAAAGAGACCACATAAAAGCAAAAGTATTTGAAGACGGAATTAGGGCTTATAATCCATCTGTCAGGCGGCCTTTACCTCGCCCTTGTCACAAGTCTCCAGGTCGCTCTGTGTAAGACAAAAAAAGCCACATCCTAACAATCACTCGTGCTACAGACAAGCAAAAAGTCTCAAACACCAAAGGAAAAGCTATTGGTTTATATATAGATATATATATATATAGATATATACTGTGTTTACAGAGTCAACAAGTTAAATGCAATATTCATAAGAGCATTAACAATAAAAATACAATCTGTGTGTAGCCAAGTACAGACTTAAAATGGTAAAACAGGAAAAAGGATCTCACCAAAAGTACAAATATACAGTACAAATTGATTTATTTAAAACAGTTACAAAAAAAGCACAACAAAATAGAGATTATCCTTAGAATTATTAATGCTTTGTTAAAGATCAGGTAGGAGGAAAGGGGCAGGAACAGGGTCGGAGGGGAGCACCTGACTAGTTCTAAGGCTTTAGATACAATGCGGTCGGTTACATGTTAATACAGCCATTACATAACTGGGATTATAGTTGAGGGATCAGCACTTATCTACAAAGACCTCCTTGCCTCAGGGCAGCCCAGCTGGTTCCCCCAGTGCCACACGTCTGTCTCTGCTTTGCACGGGCAGCCCCTCCCCTGGCCCTAAGGTGCCATGAAAGCGGAAAACTCGAATGTGCACGGGTGCATCTGCAGGGCGGGGTGGCAGCAGCCTAGGAGGACATTAGGGGCAAGTCCTGTCCTCCACGGACAAGATGTGAAGACCGTGGAAGGGCCTTGGCCATCAGTATTTTAAGCCATACATGGAGCACGCCCTGGGCCAAACCGTACAGAATGTGCATTCGTAGCCATCTTAGCAGCTTCTGCAAAGTTTCAGGCCCTAGGACAGCCTGAAAGACAAAGAGCAGTTGTGAGTGACGCTGGGGAAAGGCACGTGTGCTGCTGCGGGCAGGAACTAGCACTGGGGCTACTCAAGCTGCTGTAGTTTCTTTTACACTATTTTCTGAGTAACAAGGATTGTTAGTTCTCTAGGGGGAAAAGTGACTTCAAGTGTGGGGTGGGGACAGGGCGGGGACACTTAATGTGGAAAGTGCATTATACTTGGGCACCTGCTGAAAGGGGAGGCAGAGGGGCCTCTGCAGCTTTCCCTCCTTCCAGACAGAGCTTCCTCTGCATAGTCTGGTAGTGATGAGCGCTCGTCGCTTGGAGCAAGTCTCGTGTTCCTGGAGCAACAGTGTACGCACAGCCTAGGAACAGGCCTGGCCTCTGCTGGGCGGCTGACCCGAGGAATGTTGCACGAGATGGGACAGATGGGGACAGACACCCGTTATTGCATCCTACGGACTCGCCACAGAGCGTGAGCTGGGTAAGACCAAGGCCAGGAGGACTCCTCCTCTGGGGAGGACAGACCACAGCTCTCCTCCCCTTCACAGTAGCAGCAGGAAAACAGTATATTTCTCTGAGAAGCCCGTCACATCTCTGCCGGCAGAAAAGCCTGGATAACCCCCTCATTCCACAATGTCTGCCCAGCTTTATCTCCTCCTCTCCCTGTAAACCTAAGAAATAAAAGCCTCCTCCCTGGGCTCGTTCATAGCCTTTCTGCCTGCAGCAGAGCCCGTCTCGCACGCTCCCTGTTTCAGGAGGGCCTCAATGCTCAACACCACTGCCACCACGGGTGCTGAGCGACACAGCCCAACCCACTAAGGACAGATTCCAGTGATTACGAGTACTGCTAAGCTGGGCCAGAGGGCCACCAGTGGCCCCCTCCTGCCCACTGCCTTTGGGGCAAGCAGCCAGATGCCCAGATTCTTCATCTCAATGCCCCGCCACGAGATGTGCCCCAAACCGTTGCTTCCACTGAAGGGCTGGCAGCTGAAACATGCACAACAGCGGAACTGACAGGGAGTCTGGATAGAAGCACCGAGGTCAAATTCACCCTGGCCCGTACCACCGAGCTCGGAACCGCACTCAACAGAGGCGCAGCTAGCCAAAGTCCAGGCCAGCGGCCCGGTGAACACCAGGACAAGCACCTTCACAGCCCTTCAGCTGCCTACAGTACAAAGCTGTTTTAGCCACACAGCATCCTGCCTCACGCATCAGTGTCTGCCCTTTCAGACCACTGCTCAGCACGGCCAAGATCTAGGAGTAGTAGTTACAGGAACACAGCTGAGATAAGGCAGGCTCCCCCAACCCTCCCTCTAAAGTCAGAGATTCCTGGGTTCAAAGATGCACGTGAGGGGCTCTGCACCCTTCGGCTGCTCAGAGATTTCCTCTCAGTGTGCAACCAGCCCATCAACATTCACATGCCACACGTATGCGAGATCCCTTTCTTAGCTGCCTGCCACAGCTCTGAATTCCTCTGCATGCACTGTGCAAAGAACAGGCAAGAGAACCTGGGCTCCTTTGCCTTCTGCCTTTGGCCGCAGGCACCCTGGATATCCTGAGCATGAAGTACTAACCAACGTTAATCGAGGTCTTTGCGTAGGAGAGTCCGACGAATAGCAACCATGAAACACAGAAGGTGATGCGGCCTGGCACCCGGGCCGGGACAGTACGTGTTACCGACGAACGGTGCCACGAAAGCAGCATCTGCTCCCACAGCTGCGGCATCTGAGGGGGCAGCACCTTCACACGACAGCATCACCATGATTTCATACATCTCAAATGCAGCTGCTGAGAGCGGAAGCTGTGTCATTTGGGGGAAGCTACACGTGATACAGGCAGCATCCTCATTCTGGAGAAATCCCCATGAGGCACAAACACTGAAGGCATGAGTAGCGCCTATCTCACCTAAGGCCTGAAAAGCAGCTGTCCCTCCTGGTGCAGGCATTTCAAAGGCAACAGAAATGGCAAGCAACGCGCTAGGAAAACAGGACCAACGGCCTGGATGGGACATTCTGGAGACTCTAATTTGCCCAGTGCCCGGGCAGAACACCCCTCTGCCACACAGTCAACTGAACCCAACCAAAGCCAGGACACATTCCTGGAGAGCGTGCGGAACAGCCCTGAGACACCACCGCCACAAGCTGACCGAAGGACAGCTATGCCAAGGAGGGGTGCCGACACACCAGCCATTTGGGGAACGAGAGAAGCAGTGCCCTGGCAGCTGGGCATGCCTGATGGAAAACTTCAGGAAGATGAGAGAAGGGAGACGGAAAATGGTGTGCTGAATGCCAGGAGCAGCATCGGCACTCTAGCGGGGACCTGCACGCTGAAAAGAAACCCTTTCAAAAGCCTGGTCCTAGCACAGAGATGGGCACCTTAACACAAGGAATACTTAACCCAAGTTAAGTCCGTGAAGGCTCTTATTCTCAACATAATAGCGACTATTTTTCGTTCTAGCTAAACAGGTAGAACTGGTGTCACAACACACCACCAGAGAGGGCAAATTAGTGTAACTACAGGAGCCTTCACTTGAATGGAGTGTTATCACCGTAACGAGGTATTAATATACATTTGTATAAAATGTCACCGTGAAAAAGACTAGTCTTGATTTTACCACGTTGTTCTACAGAGGAACTCCAAAGTGAAGCATCAGAAAAACGAACACAAAACCACCCCGGAATGCCCCACGATGCTGTGATATTTTTAGAGTCCCTACATTAATCATAGAACTGTACTTAGCAGAAACTTTGTACCTTGCCTGCACATGCACAAACACTTGTCTCTTGTCTAGAGCTTATTCAGGAAACTGCCTGCAGGGAAGAATTAGCCATCTGGAAAGTTTTCTTTTGATTTAATTACGAAATAGTCTCAGTCTTCTCACAGAAAAAGGATGCGTTTCCATCCTTCCCTAGAGAAAGCTGAATATATTTTACTCCAGCTTTAAAAAAAACCCACAACCCCCAAATCCAAACAAGCCAAAAACCCCAACCCCATTCATCCATAGGCTAAGCCTCTGCAAAAACTATAAGCCCAAGATTTTTTTTTTTAAGTTATTAACATGGGAAGAAAGATTTGATGGCAAATAATTACATGTCTTTTATAGCAGGAAACCGGTGTCTCCCATCCCAACTCGCGTCCCATCCCAAGTGCTCAAGTTCCCTATTCACCTACACCCAAACCCATCCTTTTGGTCCTTCCTCTTGAATTTCTGTGATTCGTTCAAATCTGTACATTCTTTGCAAGAAGAAAGAGCAGTTGGATTCAGTGGAAGAGACATTAAACAGAACCACCAGAGAAGCATCTCCGTCCTGCCCTCAAGAGCTCCATCGGTGAACGGTCCTTTTAAAGTGCATGTGTGAAGAAAAGGGATACTGGGAGTAGAGCCCCCTAAACTCCAGTGGGGACTCATCTCTCCCCATCATGAGAAAGGAGGAATAAAATCTTCAGCAATTTTATCTGCTACCTTAAGCCGTGTCTGCCCTCCTCATCTCCCCACCTATCCCAAATGCTTAGACCCTGCCCTGCAGGGAATCGGTTATTCAGGGAGGTGTGAGAAAGCCCCAGCCTCCAACCTCTGGAATGCTCTCATTGCAAGCTCATGAGCACATCCCGGCTCTCTACCCCAGCTAGCCTGTTGCTGCTCCCTGAGGCACTGGAGCCCTCTTGATTCCCAAGAGGAATTGGTCAGCCACTGAACTGGAACAAATCCAGCCCTGCAGGGCAGAAAGCAGCCTTGCTGGTGAACCTGTCACAAAGTCTGTGCAATTTCCCCACCTGATGGTGAGAACTCACCTACAGGGGATGCCCTAGTTCACAGCCTCAAAGGGATCACTTCCCTGCATTAGAACGCCCTTCAATAGACAGCTTGACCTCCTGGGGAATGAAAGAGGGACGGAGCAGAGAGGGCCGAGGCTCCTCTGCCTGCATGCTGTATCTTTGGAAGCCTGGAGCTGTCCAGCTGTGCTGACTGCCAGCCTCAGGCTGAGAGGGTTCGGCATGAGAGCTCTGGGCTGCACTGTCCCTATCTGTGTTGCTCTTCCTTCCGCCAGCTCTGTCAGATGGTTCTCTGGGCCCCTGAGCTGTTCTTTCAGATCTCTCCCTGGCAGGTATCAACTGATCTGCGGGAGGGCAGTTAGCCTGAGAAGCGGAGTTGCCATTCATGCTCTGTAAACTGATTGATATGCAGACATCGCCCACTTGCAGCCTGTGACAGGGCAGAGCAAAGAGCTGAGCAGTCCGCCCTGGGCTACAGGAGGACCAGCCCTGGCCATACACAAAGAAGGGATGCTCTGGGGGCACATCAATGCTCACTTTACTTTGCTGCTCCCCAACCACAAAATGCAGTGTGACAAGCCCAGGCCACTGGCTTTCCTGAATATCCACCACGGTGCTGGAGTCGATCTTCAGGCCCCCGCTCACCTCCGCACTGCGAACAAAGTCTTGAGTCTGCAGGTCCTCTACCCGCTTCAGCTCTCCTGTAGCCAGCTGGATGATGGCTCCCTTCATGAAGTGAGAGGGCAAGTGCGAGGAGCTGGGTGGCTGCAGCTGGGCCAGGTCCTTTTCAAGCACGCTTCCTCGAGCCTGTGCATCTGGGCTCTGCCTCACCAGGGTTTCTGCAGTGGAAGACCTGATGGGCTCAGATCCAACGGGAACCAGGACTGGCTTGCCGTTGGCTATCACCATTCCTTTGGTTAACTGTCTTTGTCTGACCGGCTCTTCAGGGGACATTACACACGGACTCCTGGACTGGCTTTTCTCAGCAGCAGCCCTCTCCACTGTGTTCCTCAGCACGTCCTTTGACTCCCCCTGCTGATCAGGGATATTATGGCAGAGGTTTAAAGGGCTTGGGTCATCTTTCCTCTGGGCTGACAGAATATGATAATCCTGAGATGCCAACACCCCCACCACCCTCTGAACCTCCAGATCAGTGTCTGGGGTGCTTCTGTGAGCTGGCACTGAGACCTCTGTTCCCAACGTCTGGTAACCTGAAAGGAACTGTCCATCGACCACACATCCCGCTGCAGCCCCTGGCACAGAGTCTTCAGCTTTACTGCTGGCAGAGTCCACAGCCTCGCTGGTCCTCCTCACCACATTATGCTCCAGATGTCTCTGTCCACCATTGGCAGCAGCTACCTCTGAGCTCAGCTGACTGTCTTGCTGAGGAGAGTCTGGGCTTCCACCTGCTGTAGGTGTCTCGTATGCTGAATACCCTGGCGGGAGGCGGGACATCTGATAATAAACAGGAATTCTACCTGGCGTAATATCTAATGGCTGGGTCCCAGCATGATGCTGCATCTGGCCAGAAGGAGAGATTGCAGAAGCAGATTTGTTGAAGGTGTGGGTAGGAGAGGTAGTCTGGGGGGAAGGAGCGGCTTCTTCCGTGAAGAGAGAGGCATATGGCACAAAGTGGGGGACATGAGAGGCGGTGAGGTTGGTGGAAGGAGACAGGAGAGGACTAGGCAGGAAGCCAGGAGGGACAGCATAGGGCACCGTGTAATGCGAGCCGACGAACTGTAGGGACGTTGGAGGGATCTGCGCGTAGTGGATGGGAGGGTAGGGCACCCCCGGGTGCTGGATTATTGGCGAGGTCACGTTGAAGGCAGGGGGCAGGGGGCTCACGTTCACCACGGGGTGCAGACCCGTAGGGGAGAAGGT